CCAGCTGGACCTTCTCCAGGGGTGAGTGGGGGACACCTCGGGATTGGGGGACACCTCCTCGGATTTGGGAAACACCCCTGTATTTGGGTGACCCCCCCATGTTTGGGGGACCCCTCATACTCCCCTCCACAGGTCGTGCCGGACCAAAGTCCTGGGCACTGCCACCATCCACCTGTCCCAGATCTACCAAGACCCTGAGGAACTCCAGGGTGAGTAGGGCCCACTGTTGGGGGGTCCCCAGCACCCAGACCCCCCCGGTACCCCTGACACCCCTTTTTTTTGATCTCAGGGGGGACCCCCGGCTTCCTGCCCTGCTTTGGACCCGCCTTCCTGCCCCTGTATGGCCCCCGGCCCGACTGTGCGCGGGTACAGAGTGAGGGGGTGACAGGGTGGGCATGGGGGGGTGACAGGATAGGCACAAGGGGATGGCAGGATGGGCACAGTGGCCGTTTTGGGGAGGGACACCCACCCAAACCTCCCCTTTGTTACCCAGGACTTGGGGGTGGATTATCGGGGTCGGGTGCTCCTGGAGATCTGCACCCATGAGGGGACCCTGGACGGGCGGCAGAGGGACATTGTGGCACCCGTGGATGTGGAACGGGCACAGGTGGGACATGGGGACAGGGGGACATGGGGGATATGGGACATGGGGACATATACACATATTTGTTTATTTTTATTAATACATATATTCAGCATATAACATATAAATGTATATTATATAATATGGTTTAATTATTCATATATAAAATATATACTATATATACACTAAAGTATATATAATTGACACATACTATATGATACTTAATATACAATATAGAATTAATATGCCATTAATATATATTAATAATATATTAATATAATTAACATGTGATTAATGTATACTTTAATATTTCTTTCCCCCAGGCTTTGTTCATTGAAGGCCATCAGGGTTAATTTAGCAAAACTCAAAGTCCCACTAATTTCCTCAACCTGTGATCCCAGAAAAGCCAAACTTTGCTGAATGCCACCCAAAAGTGCTTTAAGCCCAACCCCTGGCTTGTGGTTAATATAGTGCTGATGAGTAATTCAAACAATTAATTCAAACCATTAATTAACCTCCCATTTGAGTGGTTTTGGGGTTATTTTGCAGCAGCAGCTCTTGCCCCAGTGCCAGTGGGGGCTCTGTGGGGTGTTTTACTCGGCCACGATGGTCCCAGAGGGTCCTGATCCGCTGGGATTTGAGCTCGGGATTGGACACGACTCCTCAGCCACCCCCCTGAGCCCCCCCGTGTTTGATGGTGAGTGGGGGGGGTACCTCGGGAGGGGGTGGAGACACAAACCAGGATGTATTGTATAAACACAGAAAATATAATGTAAATATAAAATATTATATAAATATAGAGAATATTATACAAATATCTAAAATATTATATCACAATAATAAAATAATAGTACAAAAATAGTGTTTGATCCCTATATCAGGCTTAGTTTTGTTCCATGTAGTGCTTAGTACAAACACCAGAGATTAAAGTGGCTTTGTGTTAATTTTCTATATCTGTGATTAATAATCTTGTGCAAATTAGTCCTTCATTAATTACCTAAATCGGTGATTAATTAATATGGGCTGGGAGATGTCTCAGTTTGAGGAATAAAGGTTGAGTGTCAGAGCAGAGAGATCAGAGAAGGGGCACCGTGACCTGAGGGTGTATTTGAGATGCTCTCAAGGAGAGAAGGTTCATCAAAAGATCCAGAACCATCAAAGGGAAATTTGGGGAATGGGATGTTTGCAAACGACCACCAAAGCCTCTCAAAAGACTGCTACTCAGGTCTGAATAACTCCATGGAGATAACTGGCAGAGTATTCATTAAATGTGATAATATGTAACACAATGTGATGAATATGGATCAGTCCATGACTGTCCTGTGCTCTGGTGGGTTCTGGAGGTACATTTGGGTGCACCCAACAAAGGAATATTGGTTTTCCAACCCCCAAAAAAACCTCTTGGAGAGTTCAATTCCTGTTTTTTGGTGGCGCAGGGAACCTGTACCACCACCTGCCCTGGCACGGGGACAAGCCTGTGGTGGCTGTCACCTCGTTCTGGGAGGACAATTGTCACCGCTGGGACACCCTGAACCTCCTGCGCACCCTGTGCCGGCGCCTGGTGAGACCCTCGGGTTGGGCAGGACTAGGGTGGGGTGGGCAGGACTAGGGTGGGGTGGGACCCCCCCCCCCACCCCAGCTGGAATGGTTTAGGATGTGATTTCAGGAGAGGAACACCGCGGAGCTGCGGCGCTGCCGAGGGGACACCGTGAGGGACACGAGGGTGAAGCTGCTCTGGGAGCTGGAGCAGGACTGCATGTGAGGGAGGGTCCTGGGTGTCCCATGCCTCCCAAATAGGGGCTGGGGGAGCAGGACTGCATGTGAGAAGCAGGGGGTTGGGGATCCTGAGGGTTCCAAATCCCCCAAATTGGGGTTTGGGGAGCAGGACTGCATGTGAGAGGGGGGCTGGGGGTTCTGGGAGTCCCCCCCCACCCCCCAAAATGGAATGGGGAGTTTGGAGGATATATGGGGTCCCTGGGCTTGTCAGTCAGAGTTCGGGAGAGTGGAATGGGGTATTTGGGGGGGGGGGAATGGGATTTTTGAGCTTCTCAGTCAAGGTTTGGAGGAGTGGAATGGGGAATTTGGGACATTTTTGAGGATGGTGGGACATTTGGGGTGAACATAGGATGAGGAGGAAATGGGATATTTGAAGGTGGAATGGGGCATTTGGGGGAAACAATGAGGAATTGGAGCAAATGAGAATTTGAGAAGATAACGGGACATTGGGGGTGAAGATGGGAGAATTGAGGAGACAATTGGGTATTTGGAGGGGGAAATGGGACATTTGTGGGGGCAGCAGGGCATTGCTGGGTGAAACTGAACTTCGTGGGGGAAACGGCATTTGGAGGGACACAAAGCATTTTTAGGGAAACCAAGTGGGAAAAAAACTGGGTGTTTTGGGTGCAAACTGGAAGTTTTGGGGGTGTTTTTGCAGGCAGGCACTGGCCCAGCTGGAGGCACAACCCACGCCCCTCACGGCTCTGGACGAGCAGCTCAGGAATTCCCGTCGGCTTCTCCTTCGACATTTGTGGAATGTGGCCAAGGAGGCTTCAGTAAAGGCTGGGAAATACGACTGGGACACACTGGTGGCAGGGGCTGAGAGGTGGCTCAGACGGGTGTCTGCCCTGGCAGTGGAGGTGGGGAATTTTGGGGCATGATCGTCTCTGAACAAGTTATATTTCTTTAAAAAGCAAATTAAATATAATTAATAGGAAATTTAAATTATAATTTAAGTACAAATATAAATGATAATGAAATTAAAATTCAAGTGTAAGAATAAATTAAAATTTAAATATAAATTTAATGGAAATGTAAATTTAAAGAAATATAAATTTCTTTAAAATTTCTTTCCATGCAGCCGGGGGGGGGAAGATGTTGGAAAATTCTTTTAACTTTAGCACAATAATGTTTGATCCCTAAATCAGTGATTAACAGTCTTGTGCCAGCTATTGCTGCCTTAATTACCTGTATCAGTGATTAATCAGTATGGACTGGGAGATGTCTTAGTTTTGGGAACAAGGGTTGTGTGTCAGAACAGAGAGATTGGAGAAGGGGCACCATGTATTTGAGATGCTCTCAAGGAGAGAGGATTCATCAGTAGATTCAGAACCATCAAAGGGAAATTTGGGGAATAGGGTGTTCCCAAATGACCACTAAAGCCCCTCAAAAGACAGATCCCAATAACTCCGCAGAGATAACTAGCAGAGTATTCAGGAATGCAATGAATATGTAACACAACGTGATGAATATGGATCTGTCCACGATTGTCGCCTGCTCTGGTGGGTGCTGGGGATGCATTTGGGTGCACCCAATAAAGGAATGTCAGCTTTCCAAACCAACAAACCTCTTGGAGAGTTTAATTCCTGGCTTTTGGTCTCTCCTTGTGTCCCTGCAGCCCCAGGCCGGTGTCCCCAACTTGGTGTTGTGGCTGCTGCGGGGGCAGCGCCGGGTGGGCTGTGCCCATGTCCCTGTCACCGATGTCACCTTCTCACCAATCGGCCCTGACGCCTGCGGGCGGCTCTGTGGGAGGATGCAGACCATCTTCCTGGTGGGAAGCTCCCTGTGTTCCCTCTATACCCCCTCCACATCCCCTCTGTGCCCCTGAATGTCCCCTCATGTCCCCTCTGTCACTGCTTGATGTCCCTTCCATGTGCCCCTCCCTGATCCCAAGCATGTCCCTCCCATATTCCCTCCCTGTCACCTCACTGCTTTGTGTCCCCTTCATATTCCCTCAACATCCCCCTCCATGTCCCCTCTATCATTGCTCTGTGTCCTCTCCACATCCCTCCCCATGTCCCCTCTATATTCCCTCTGCATCCCCCCCAACATCCCCTCCAAATTCCCACCACACCCCTTCCATGTCCCTTGGTGCCCGTTCTGCGTCCCCCCGTGCCCTCTATCTATCTTCTCCGTTACTGCTCCATGTCCCCTCCACTCCCCCCTCGTGTCTTCCCCAAATTCCCACCACATCCTCCCCATGTCCCCTCCCTCTCCCCTCTTCATTTCCACCCCTCACTCACATTTTGGGGTTCAGGGCTCCGGGACGGTCCGTGCCCAGGTCCGTGTCCGGCTGTGGCTGTGCCGGGTGTGCGACAGTGGGGCCCTGCCCCCGCTCCTCGAGGGGTCCCTGCACTTCCACACCGAGACCGTGAGTGTGACACCACCCTGGGACCACCCAAACCCTCTGAGGGAACCCCCAAACCCTTCCCAACCCTGCTGTATTTTTGTCCCCCCAGTACGAAAACCAGACGAGGCTTCTGGGGAAATGGGGGCCCTGGAAGCTGTTGGGGCGTCCCCCCTTCTCCGATGGCACGGGCAGGGAGGGGCTCCCTCCGGGAAAGATCCAGCCCCCCAAGGGATGGCGCTGGGAGGGGCCCTGGAACGTGGAGCTGCAGCAGAGGTGGATGAGGGGGTTTTGAGGGGATAGGAGGGGGTTTGAGGGAGGATGTTGGAGCGGATACAGGGGGATTTAAGGGGGTTTGGGGGTTACAGGTGGGTTTGAGGGGAATACAGGAGGGTTTGAGGGGGGTTTGGGAGGGTTTGGCTGGGATACGAGGGTGTTTTGAGAGGATATGGGGGGATTTGAGGGGGTTTGGGGGGATAGGAGAGGGTTTAGGGGAGTTTGGGGAGGATATGAGGGAATTTAAGGGGGTTATGGGGGTTACAGGTGGGTTTGATGGGGATACAGGGGGTTTTGAGAGGGGGTTGAGGAGGGTTTGTGTGGGATACGAAAGGGCTTGGGGAGGATACGGGGGGATTTGAGGGGGATTTGAGGGGGATACAAGGGGGCTTGAGGGGGGTTTGGGTGGATATGACGGAGGATTTGAGGGGTTTTAGGTGGGTTAGAGGTGTGTTTGAGAGGGGTACAGGGGGTTTGGGGAGGATATGGAGGGATTTGAGGGGATTTTGGGGGGTTACAGGTGGGGTTGGGGGGGTTTGGGGGGATACAGGAAGATTTGTGGAGGATATTGGGAGTCTGAAGGGGGTTTGGGGGGGATACAGGAGGGTTTGAGGGGAATACAAGGGGAAAGCCACCCACCTGCCACTACGGGGACCTGGGTGATACCAGCGCTGTCCCCTTGTCCCCAGGGAGATGGTGGACACAGGCAGTGCCTTGTGTGAGATGCTGCAGGAGCTGAATGAGAACCAGATCCAGAGGAGCCGCTCCAACAGGGCCACCTCGGATCCCGTGAGTGGGGAGGGGGGAGCAGGATGGGGGGATGGCAAGATGAGGGGTCAGGGAGGGGGGTGTCGGGGATGAGGATGATGGGGATGGGGGTAACAGGGGTGGGGGGGAATGGAGGTGGCAGATTGGGGGTGATGGGCATAGGGGGAGGGAATGGGGATGGCAAAATGCGCTGATAGGGATGGTGGTGTCACCATGTCATGGTGTCCCCCTGTTACTGTCCCATGTCCCTGCTGTTCTATTCTCCCCCAGGACCCTGGAGCAGTGTCAGAGGATGAGCCCTGGCAGTCTGAGTGTTTCTGGCCCTGCCCCTTCCGTCCCAAACCCTTGGGGGGTGTCCGGGGGGGGGGGCCCTGTGCCGGCGACGCCGCTGGCACCGTGGCTTGGTGCTCGCCCAGCCCACGGCCGTGGCACCCCTGTTCCTGCTGCAGGGAGTCCCGGTAGGAGAGAGGGTGGGGAGGGGTCTGGGTGGAAGCAGGGAATGGCAAGGGAGGGGTGGAAAATGGGGGAAAGAAGGGATAGATGAGGGATGAGGCACAAACGGAGGGATGAATGGCGGGATGGGAGGATGGGGAGCAGAAGAATGGTTGAAGGATAGAGCATGGAGGGAGGGATGGGGAAGGGAGGGAAGGATGGTGGCAGAGGGATGGATAAGGGATAGGGCACGGATGGAGGGATGGGAGGAGGGATGGAAGGATGGGGGGCAAAGGGATAGCTGAGAGATGGGGAGATGGAGGGAGGGAGGGAAGGATGGATAAGGGATGGGAAATGGACGGAGGGATGGCAGGAGGGATGGAGGGTTGGATGGAGAGATGTGGAGAGTGATGGAGGAGGGAGGGAAGAGGGAGGGAGAAAGGGAAGAACGGGGCAGCGGGACGAATGAGGGATAGGGCATGGATAGAGGGATGAGAGAGGGATGGAAGGATGGGGAGGACAGGAATGGAAGTGATGTGGAGATGGGCCATGATAGGGCTGTAGAACACAAGATAGCAGATGCAGGACCAGAGGACAGCAGGACCAGAGGACAACAGGGCCAGAGGGGCTCCCACCCCACACCCCATATGCCTCACCCCCCATCCCCTCCTGCCGCAGGACACGGAGGACATGCCCAAGGAGGACAATCCAGCTGTGGCACCGCTGGAACCCTGGGGATCGTGGCCCCTCCTGGAGCAGCCCCTGCCCTTAATTTTCTGCACCTTCCCCTGTGAGCCTGGAGGGAGCAGGGGGGTGTGTGTCTGGGTCCAGTCTGGGGGTCCCGGCCCCCCTGACACTCCTGTCCCGCAGGTCCCAGCCTCTTCCAGCTCCGCTGTTACCTCTTCCGGGCCCTGGATCTGACCCCTGGCATCTCCAAGACCTCTATAGGTGGGACCCCCACCCCGTCCCCCCCCTCCAGTGGCCCCACGGGGTACTGACAGTGTCACTGTCACCCAGATGCCGCCGCCCACGTGTCGATCATGGATCAGAGCCAACGCTCCCAGGTCGTGCGGGGTGTCCTGGACCCACTCTGGGAACAGACGCTGCTGCTCCACCCAGTGCTGCTGTTCGGGAACCCCCAAGGGGTTCGGGAGGACCCCCCAGCCGTAGTGGTGGAGGTGTTTGACCAGGCTGGGAAGGTACGGAACACAAGGGGGGAGGGAGGAAGGAATGAGAGAGAGGTGGAAGGATGGGGGGGTCAGGGATGTAAGGAATTGGGGATGGGGGGAGCAATGTGGAGAGAGAGGGAGGGAGGGAGGGAAGGACAGGGCAGAGGGATGGATAAGGGATGGTACATGGACGGAGGGATGGCAGGAGGAATGGAAGGATGCAGGGGGTCAGGGATGGAAGAATTGGGGGTAGACTGAGCAATGTGGGGGGAGGAGGGAGAGAGGAAGAGAGGAGGGAGAGAGGGAAGAAGGGAAGGATGGGGGCAGATGGATGGATGAGGGATGGGACATGGATGGAAGGATAGTGGGAAGGATGGAAGGATGGGGGGTTAGTGGTGGAAGGATTTGGGGATGGAGGGAGCGATGTAGAGAGGAAGGGAGTAGGGAGGGAGGCATGAAAGGATGGGGCCAGAGGGATGGATGAGGAATGGGAAATAGATGGAGGGATGGGAGGAGGTAGGGAAGGTTGGGGGGGGTCAGGGATGGAAGGATTTGGGAATGGGGGGAACGAGAGTGATGTGGAGAGGGAAGGGGGGAGGGAAGGAAGGAAGGATGGGATCAGAGGGATGGATTGAGGGATGAGGCATGGATGGAGGGATGAGGGAGAGATGGAAGGACGGGGGCAAGGGATGATGAGGGATGGGGGACAGAGAGATGAGGGAAGGGAGGGAGGAGTGAGGGAGGTAGGGAGGGATGGATATAGAGAGATGGATGAGGGGTGGACACACAGATGGAGGGATGGCAGGAGGAATGTAAGGACGAGGGGTCACCCACAGGTGGGCGGAGTAATGGGAGGACCAAGGGGGTCAGGGATGGAAGGATGAGAGGGGCACCCATGGATGGGGGCAGCACCCTCACCCAATCCCTGCCTCAAAGGGCGCCGGTGTTTTTCTGGGGAGGTGTGTGTGCACCCCCAAGGTTTGGCTGGATCTGGGACACCGGGAGCCCCCCCGGCTCCAGCCTCACCCCCTGCGTGGGCCGTGGGGCCCAGCCGGGGACCTGGTGGCTGCCTTCGAGCTGCTGCTCGAGCCCGAGGTGAGCAGGGGGCACCGGGGGCACTGGGAGGGGGGCACAGAGGCACCCAAGGGTAGGGTCCCATCATCATTGACCCCTCTCCCCGCAGGACGGGACCCTGGCAGCGCTC